AGCAAGAGACATAACAGGCAGGAGTAATAACATTGTCCCCAGCAAGAGACATAACAGAACAACTTCTCTTCACTCCCCCTCTCCCCCTAAAGAGAAAGGGTCGATGGAGGCATATGATCAGTGGTACTTGAGAAACATGCACGGACAATAAGCCATTGCAGATAGGTAGGTAAATTGCAGTGGAATATATGAGCAGCGGTGTCACTCCCCCTCAAATCCGACGATGTATGAAAGTCGAGATTTGGAGAAAGTAACACCCAAATAAATAGAGAGTAAGAAGACACGAGTGACTTTGGGCAGACACGGGTGAAGAGAAGATAACAAAAAATAAAAATACAAATAAGGTGGAACAAATGGAAGACAGAGTGCACGTGGAGATGAGAACAAAGTCTGAGAAAGAAAATTGTGGCCTTCAATAATATAAGGAACATAAAGGATGAACACAATTTGAACAAATAAAAAGGAAGTGAAACACATTATCAAATGGGAAAAGGCCATACATGCGTGCACAGAGAGAGAGCATGCGATTAAGCATGAGAGGAAAATAAATAGGAGCATGAGGTTAAGCATATAAGGGAGCCAACATAGAAAAAAAGATGATAAAAGATACCAGTGGAAAAATAGACAGAGAAGGAAAAAAAAAGGGCGTGAGACGAACAGGAAAAAGAAGAAGAGCACAAGAGATAGCACTTTGTTGGTGAGAAAAGAAACCATAAAAAAGAATAAGAATAAGAAAACACAAGATGTTGTCGTGAGAGAGAAGTCATATTGAAGAGGAGAAAAAGGTAGACAAGGTGAAAAAAAGAAAAACACCCTCGGGCCAATAAGTTGGCAAAAGCAAATAAAATCAATAAAGAAAAGAAGATCAAATTGGAAGAAGAGAGGATAAGGAAAAAATAATAATTAAAAGGAGCAACAACCCAAATTGGAAGAAGATAGGATAAAAAATAATTAAAGGGAGCAACCATCATGTGGATAGGTTGTTGAAAAAGGAGATAAAATAAAATAAAATAAAACAAATGAGAGACCTACAGAAAAAGAAATAAGAGTTGGGTAGTGGAGGAGAGTGAATAAAGAGAGACAGCGTGGGAAAAATAAAGAAGAGAAATAGAAGGGTGCCAGGAGCACATGACAGGGAAGGACTAACAAATATTAAAAAGTAACGTAAAGACAAAACATGACCATGAAGAAAAAGGAAGAAAAAAAAATTGTGCCTGACAAAAAAGTTGTCTGATAAGAAAAATGAAGGAAAACTTTGAAAAGGGTGCTCAAGTGAGCAATGAGAGAACCAGAAAAGGGTTTTCGTGGGTGATGAGCTTGAGAAGGGGACTGAGTTTGGGAAGAAATGGTGAGATATTTGAGATGGAGAG